TTTTTTTTTTCGCTCAATGTTCTTCTAAGAGAAAGATATTAAAATGGTGCTAAATGAAGGCCTGAAAAAAAGCAGTAGGGAGAAATGATTTTTTTCGACGGGGAAAAATGGGCTGCAGTAGGGTAGGAGGGAGGGGGCATTTAACCGAACTGGTTCTCGGAATTGTTTTCCGCTCTATCTATGTGTAATTATATACATACATATGTATTTCTGTTTGTGCTTGTTGTATGTTTCTCTATCTGTATATATGCGAAGATATGTATCATATGCGTATCAGTTAAAAACCAGGATCTGCTAAAACACAGTAGTTTCCTTTTATTTTGATGACGATGGCGGTGTTGGGTGGTGTTTTCCAATACCATCTTTTTAATGGTTATGTATTTATTCGTAATTGCCAGTGAATCCATTGCTGGATGCGTAAATTTGCTGCAAATTAGTGGATCAAGTAAGGAAAAAAGAGAACTACGATGAACAGTTTGGCGAGTCAACTGTAAGAACTTCTTGGTATCTGACGACTGATCTGATCGATTTGGTAAGGTACCGAGTATTTGGTAAATGACGAAATAAATTAATGGCCGCTAGTTAAGTGATTGGAATCACCACTACCACCATCACCATATCTTTTTTCAAATAGGTAAACTAACTAGTCAACTTCGGTTAAACGTCTAGACACTTAACTGTTTAAATCATTGATTTTCAGGTGGAAAATCCGGTAAAGATGTTAAAAGTTTATGTTTTTGTTTTATACGTCATTTTTTATTAATTTATACAGTTACCAGATAAAAGAAACAAAAACAAGGAAGGGAAAAAGAATGATAAAATTAGAAGTTAAACAGGTCAGAATCAAGCTGAAAAAAAAAAGCAACAAAGAGCAGCGTTTGAAGTTGTATCAGTTTTAAAAGGCAATCTGCACCATCAACTAAGATCAGTAAATTTTATTTCATACAATTTTTTATCAACTTGTCATTGTTATAAACAAAGAAATCTCGGGAAAAAAGTTGAATTTATAAAAATTTTTGTCATTAAATCTGTTTTGATCACTCAATTTTTTCCTTTTCGCTTATGTTTTTCTGTCTTTTATAGATACTGTCTCCTCCGATTGATTATTATTATTGCTGCTCCGGTTGTCTAAATAAGTGGCAACCAATTAATGACATTAGCTGTTTAATAGCTATGTACTAGTAGTCTGTAAATCATGTAATAGCTGGAGCACTGGTGATAATGACATCAACTATCTAGCGGTAGCAGCAGCACCAATAACAATAGCAGTCACAGCAACAAGCAGAAACAATTTTGAAGAACAAATGTTTATTGGAGTGTTCCATAAATCTTGTAGAGGGAGGGGGAAAAAAATGATAAAAAATTGCTTTTTTTCCTTCTTCTTTATTCCACGTTTTTTATTTTAACAGTCATCATCAACATCGTCATCAACACAAAGATCACTAAAATACAGCGAGGTAGGGAGAGGTAAAAGTGCATCGATTGTTGAGTGAGAAATAAGCGGATAAATTAACCAGGGGGATGGGAAACGGGGAACAAGCTGCGTAGTTTTGCAACCTGTCATTAAAAGTATTTGGTAATTGCGTCTTTCAATGAATACTGAAGAGATTAATTGTTATAGCTTCATTTTTTTTCTCATTTTATTTTTTTATTTCTTGTAATTTTTTCTCGTAAAACAATGATGCTGGTTTTTTATTGCACAATTGAAAATGCAGCAAAAAAACCTCAACATTTCTATTCTTATTGTTAGCCGTTTTTAAATAGTGTCAGTGCTGTTCAAGCTCTTTTTTTTTGCAAATTATATACTGTATGTTATGTATATCGCGTTATTATCTGTTTACCATTTTTTTAAACTGTTTATGTTGCTCTTTGATAATACATTTTCATTTCTGTTCCGAAATGATGGAAAATTTAAATGGGAAAAGAATCGCGTTTAACAAACAGATTTTTATGTCGTTACTTTCTGCATCGTTTCTGCTTTTTCTTTTTTAGTTTTATACTTCTATTTTTGCTCTTTTATAGTTTTGGTTATCACATTTACCTTTATTTATTTACTTATTCGTTTTTTTTAGATGTAACACTGTATATTATGCTTGTATTGCTCCGCTGGTTGTGTCTGCTAATTTTTCCGATATGCCGCATTTCTGCACTGATCAATCTGCATATTGGCGGCTTATTCCCAATGGAAGTCGGCACTGGTGGTTGGGCCGGCGGTCAAGCCTGCTTACCGGCTATTCAGATGGCCATCGAAGATGTTAATAACAATCCCAAGGTTTTACCGGGTTATGCGCTTCGGTTACATCAAAACAACAGCAAAGTTAGTGTGCAAGTTAGCTTCATTTGACTGGGATTGCGGGAAAAAAAAGCAAGAATACAGAAAAAAATTGAAGATAAAACAAAAGTGGAACGAGTCAAAAAAGAAGGCCAAAAAGAATTTGATTTTGATTCAGCGGTAACAAGTGCTGTTGAAGATGACGGACGATTAGTGAAATTGTGGAAGCAGTTATATCTTTTTGGCATTTTAGTTCCAATTTTTCGTTATTGCTAAAGTTTCACGATACTAATTTGATCGTCGATGCATCGCCATTTGTTTATTTGTTTGTCTTTTTTTTCTCACTGATAGTGAAATCGTGTGATTTGAGCAGAGTTCTGCCTAAAAAAGAAAAAAGGGCGGTTAAAAGTTCTATAAAGTGCGGTGGCGTCAACACCGATTAGTGCAGTAGCAACAGTAGAGTTGCTGTTGTTTTAGCCGGAGTGGTTAACTTAAAGCATACTACCTTAATTTCATTCGTTTATTTTTTTTTTCTCCTCTTTCTTCTTTTTTGTCGCAACATTTTCATCATTGACGCTAAATAACTTTACGTTGTGAGAAAACAAAACAACAACAAAAATAGGATCTTTTAAATTAACAAACAAAAAAAGAGTTTTTTTACAAGGTTCTTTGTTGCTGTCTTTAAGGACCTAAGAAAGGCAAAAGAATTAGAGGAGAA